GAAGGGTGATGGCCACAGGGAGCCCAGTAAACATGGGTGGTGCTAGAAGGGTGATGGCCACAGGGAGCCCAGTAAACATGGGTGGTGCTAGAAGGGTGATGGCCACAGGGAGCCAAGTAAACATGGGTGGGCTAGAAGGGTGATGGCAACAGGGATCCCCATAAACATGGGTGATGCTAGAAGGATGATGGCCACAGGGAGCCCAGTAAACATGGATGGGCTATAAGGGTGATGGCCACAAGGAGCCCAATAAACATTGGTGGTGCTAGAAGAATGATGGCCACAGGGAGCCCAGTAAACATGGATGGGCTAGAAGGATGATGGCAACAGGGAGCCCTATAAACACTTGTGGTGCTAGAAGGGTGATGGCCACAGGGAGCCCAGTAAACATGGGTGGTGCTAGAAGGATGATGGTCACAGGGAGCCAAGTAAACATGGATGGGCTAGAAGGATGATGTCAACAGGGAGCCCTATAAACATTGGTGGTGCTAGAAGGATGGTGGCCACAAGGAGCCCAATAAACATTGGTGGTGCTAGAAGGATGATCGCCACAGGGAGCCCAATAAACATTGGTGGTGCTAGAAGAATGATGAACACGGAGCCTAATAAACATTGGTGGTGCCAGAAGGATGATGGCCACAGGTAGCCCAGTAAACATGGATGGGCTAGAAGGATGATGTCAACAGGGATCCCTATAAACATTGGTGGTGCTAGAAGGATGGTGGCCACAAGGAGCCCAATAAACATTGGTGGTGTTAGAAGGATGATCGCCACAGGGAGCCCAATAAACATTGGTGGTGCTAGAAGAATGATGGACACGGAGCCTAATAAACATTGGTGGTGCCAGAAGGATGATGGCCACAGGTAGCCCAGTAAACATGGATGGGCTAGAAGGATGATGTCAACAGAGAGCCCTATAAACATTGGTGGTGCTAGAAGGATGGTGGCCACAAGGAGCCCAATAAACATTGGTGGTGCTAGAAGGGTGATGGCCACAGGGAGCCCAGTAAACATGGGTGGTGCTAGAAGGATGATGGCCACAGGAAGCCAAGTAAACATGGATGGGCTAGAAGGATGATGTTAACAGGGAGCCCTATAAACATTGGTGGTGCTAGAAGGATGGTGGCCACAAGGTGCCCAATAAACATTGGTGGTGCTAGAAGGATGATCGCCACAGGGAGCCCAATAAACATTGGTGGTGCTAGAAGAATGATGGACACGGAGCCTAATAAACATTGGTGGTGCCAGAAGCATGATGGCCACAAGGAGCCAAATAAACATGGGTGGTGCTAAAAGAAAGATGGCCACAGAGAGCCAAGTAAACAAGGATGGGCTGGAAGGATGATGGACATAAGGAGACCAATAAACATCTGTGGTGCTAGAAGGATGATGACCACAGAGAGCCCAGTAAACATTGGTTGTGCTAGAAGGATGATGGCCACAAGAAGCCCAGTAAAGATGGTGGTGCTAGAAGGATGATAGCAACAAGGAGCCCAATAAACATGGGGATGCTAGAAGGATGATGGTCACAGGGAGCCCAGTAAACAAGGATGGGCTAGAAAGATGATGGACATAAGGAGACTAATAAACATCTGTGGTGCAAGAAGGATGATGACCACAAGAAGCCCAATAAAGATTGGTTGTGCTAGAAGGGTGATAGCAACAAGGAGCCCAATAAACATGGGGGATGCTAGAAGGATGATGGCCACAGGGAGCCCAGTAAACATGGATGGGCTAGAAGGATGATGGCCACAAGAAGCCCAATAAAGATTGGTGGGGCTAGAAGGATGATAGCAACAAGGAGCCCAATAAACATGGGTGGTGCTAGAAGAATGATGGCCGCCATGAGCCCAGTAAACATGGATGGGCTAGAAGGATGATGGTCACAGGGAGCCCAATAAACATTGGTGGTGCTAGAAGGGTGATAGCCACAGGAAGCCAAATAAACATGGGTGGTGCTAGAAGAATGATGGCCACAGGGAGACCAATAAACATATGTGATGCTAGGATGATGGCCACAGGTAGCCCCAATAAACATGGGTGGTGCTAGACGGATGATGGCCACAGGTAGCCCCAATAAACATGGGTGGTTCTAGAAGGATGATGGCCACAAGGAGCCCAATAAACATGGGTGGTGCTAGACGGATGATGGCCACAGGGAGCCCAATAAACATTTATGGTGCTAGAAAGGTGATGGCCACAATGAGCCAAATAAACATTGGAGGTGCCAGGACAATTACACAGAAAACTGGACTTTAAATAGATTGTTTTTGTGGATTACTACTAGTAATTATTTATTTGTTATTTATTATAATAGTGTTAGTAACATGTCGGTACATTATGGAAATAGAAAGGTCATTATTTTTTTCTTCGAACTGTGACACTAGTTACAAAAGTTTCAATTTATTTTATGTTTTATTTTCCTACTTTATAGTATGACGAGTTTTCTATCATATTTTTAATTCCAGTGTTAATGTTAACTCATTATTACACTTTTTATTTTTATTTTTAGATTTCTTTTTCATTTTTCAAAAAATATATTAAAATTTGTTTACATAAATTTTATTTTTATATTTTATTTGCTGATCTATTTTTTCAATGGTTAGTAATTTCAAACGCCCGAAAAGATTGGTTAAAATGTACGAGATACTAGTAATATATTAAAGTGTAATACAATTGTAAAAATTAAATAGGATTAATTAAATAAAAATGAAACCACACCGTACAATAAATCCTGATTGGCTCTTAACTCATTCTTTCAACCTTTTTTATGGGAGACGTTATCAAGCCATACATTTAAAATTAAACATTAATTTTGGCAGAAAAAATAAACATAGTATGGTCATAAAACGTCGGTAAAACAACCTCAATATGCACACCTTGTAGAAGGTATTATACACGTGAGTTGATTCATGAAGCCGTGTCTGTAATTATATTCAGATTTATTGACCTCATTCTTAGCAATATTTTATGTGCCCACAGAGTTTGGTTGACTGGAACAAAGCTATGGTATGGCAAGTTCAAAAACTGGGGGAGAAGTACGAAAATTGGATACATTCACCGGTGGACAGACCAATGAGAATTTTTCAAACAACAGCTATGGAGTTACTGACCATGACCCCGTGGTATATGGTTCTCGTCATCTGGGTACCAGTCATGACGCTCTTTATGCAAATGAGTCTAAGGAAATGGGGCAATGACATAATATCTTTCGAGGTGATCGGCGGTGAGTCAGACCAATCATATCATTCTCACGTCCATTCTAATAAATGTAAATAGCGCAGGTACATATTTACCAAACTAACAACAAAGTTACCATAGTACTTTTGTTTTGTTTTAAGCTGCTGTTAGGAAAACATTGTTAAGAACTTTGACCGCAATTTGTTCGCAAATGAATAGATTGAACTTTGGTCGCGTGTTTTTGTGAATGCAAATATTTGTCATATTTGTAAAATGGGAACATGACGGCCCCGGATGACGGCCTTGTGAAACATGCAGTATACTGTTTGTCATTCAAATTGAAATGATCATTAACTCACAATTTG